AAAGGAAAAATATTTTCCAAGAGAAAATTTAGAAAATACTTTATAAGTTAGCCATGTATATAAGTATATAACACACGTTGATGAATCGTGCACCCAAAACCAACAATATTGTAGCATAGGTATGAGATTTAATCCATTGAAAAAGGTATTTTAAGATAGCTGTTTAATAACTTACAATAAATAATATATGTCCGTAGATATACACAAGATATTCGGTGCGAAATACAAAAATTCAAAGTTTAACTTTGTAATCATACTTTTAAAARACTATTCCATCATAAAGCTGTCACATCCTCATAAGACTTTTTTTTTAATCGCAACAGGTGTCTATTATGTTACACATTTTAAACTTCAAAAATCTGAAATTGCTTCTCCTGAATAATAATCTATAAACCAAAAAAGCGGGTAAATGAATGTTGCTCTGCTGTACAGTATGTTACAAGTGAGTTACTGAAATGGATGTTATTAAATTTAAATTCAATGATATACTCGTAAATCGTAATATCATTGTATAGGAAAAATGATTCTGGGAGGAGACGGTTTGTTAGTTTAGGATATTTTATACTATATCAATTATGTTGTTGTTATTTAAAAAAAAAAAATGTAGGTATGTCTAAAATAAATTCTTTTTTTTTGGATGTATTATGTATACCTGACTCACTCAGTCATTCATAGTATATACAATATACTATAAAGTATTAGTATAAATCAATAACGACATTAACTATAACAATTAGAATATAAATTATATTCTAGAAATTTCAAGTACTCGCAAATAATAATTCCCAGCAAAGTGTCACCAAAGGGTGATTTCTTAATTCAAAATATTCATGTTACTATATTATAATACCTACACATACTCGTTACTTATTGYACTWCGGTGTACAGATTGTGTACATAAAATTGTAAAATAAAAAAAAATATAGCATCAATATATAGATAACTAAAATTGTTATTCCTGGTTGTTATAATATGTAATCTTGTCCAAATTTGAACTTAACTATAAAAATAATTGTGMTTATATATTATAGTTTTTAGATTTTTTTGTTATAGAATTAACCAATTACGAAATCTTGTTTTAAATTGTTATTCCTCACCTATAAAAGTTAAACGTTTTATAAATGTTTAGAAAACTAAATAATTTGTAAATTTTCAATCTAATATATTTTATAAAGTTTGAATTCTTTAAAGGTTATATAAAAAAAACGTGATTATGTATTTTTAATATTTTTCAACTGCTATTATATTAAATTATGGGGAACCTTGTATTCAATTTTCAATATTTGGAAATCTATTTGGAATTTTAAATCTTGACCTCATCAATGCACCAACTAGATTCACTTTCTCACCAGAAAAGCTACACTGAAATTGAAAATCGATGCATTATTTCGACAACTTATCATGTATACAGAAATAAAAAAGATAAAGAAATAAAACACACACCATTGTTTTTTTTTTTTTTTTTTTTTTTTTATAATAAGACATTCCTAGCCTATAAGGCTATCTACATCTATGGATAAATAACATAATTTTTTTTTGACTAATTTTAA